CAACTAATTTGTTACTATTTCAGTGGTTTTTTGTGTTAACAATTTAAATATAAATATTGTAAATTCAGAGTGAATAATAAACATTTTTTCTACCAAAGTTATCAATCAATTATTTGCCTCCTTATCCACCGACGAGCATTGACGGTCGTTAACAAATTAAATGTTTTTTAAAATTCAACTCTCATAAAGAATTTTATCAACAAATTTTTAAAATGGTATTTAATATTCTGTTGACGAATTTTAATAACATTTTTAAGAATAATTTTATTTTTCGAGAAATTAAATTAAAATTGTATTAAAAATAATTGAATCTCTGTAAAAAATTTGATTGAATTGAGAAAAGCTTTTAAAATAATTGAAATTTTGACAAAAATTTTATTAACATTTTTGAAATATATTTGAAAATAATTGAATTTTGGAGAAAAATTATTATTATTTATAAAGATAAATGAAATTTTGAAGAGAATTTTTTTAAACTTTTAACCGTAATTGAATTTCTGCGAAGAATTTTGTTATTTAAGAATTACGAAGATAATTGAATTCTTTCGAAGAATTTTATTAAATTTTTTGAAAATAATGTAATTTTTGCACAAAATTTTGTTATTTTAAAGATAATTGAATTCTTGATAAGAATTTTGTTATAACTTTTGCAAATAATTGAATTCTTTGAATCATTATATTAAAATTTTTAAGAAGAATTGATTTATTTTACAGAATTCTTTTTAGAACTTGTAAAAATAATTAAATTATTTCAAATAATTTAATTAAAATTGTATTGTAAAATGATTGAATTCTTGAGAAGAATTTTATTAAATTTTTTTTAAATTATTGAATTTCTGGAAAGAATTTTCTTATTTCCAAGATAATTGAATTTTGTTATTTCCAAGATAATTGAATTCTTGATAAGAATTTTGTTACAAAACTTTTGCAAATAATTGAATTTTTGCAATAATTTTATTAAAATTTTTAAGAAGAATTGATTTGTTTTGAAGACTTTTATTAAAGAACTTTTAAAAATAATTAAATTATTTCAAATAATTTAATTAAAATTGTATTGTAAAATGATTGAATTCTTGAGAAGAATTTTATTAAATTTTTTTTAAATTATTGAATTTCTGGATAGAATTTTATTATTTCCAAGATAATTGAATTCTTGATAAGAATTTTGTTACAAAACTTTTGCAAATAATTGAATTTTTGGAATAATTTTATTAAAATTTTTAAGAAAAATTGATTTCTATAGAAGATATTTATTAAGAACTTTTAAAAATAATTAAATTATTTCAAAAAATTTAATTAAAATTGTATTGAAAATAATTACATTCTTGCGAGGATCTTTAACAACAAATTCTTAAATAATTGAATTCCTTTGACGAATTTAAATAAAAGTTTTAAGAATAATTGCATTTTTCGATGAACTCGATTAAAATTGTATTAAAAATTATTGAAATTCTGCGATGAGTATTATTAATTATAAAAATAATTGAATCTGTTTAAAAAATTTGATTATTTATGAAAATAATTGAATTATATTAAAATTGAATTAATTTTGAAATATTTAAGAATAATTAGATTTCAAGAATAAGCACAATAACTTTAGAAAACAATAATTTATTTTCCAGGATCCCCATCAAAATTCTCTGACTTTTCCAGGTTTTTTCAACGTTTTTAAAATTCCCTGACATTTTCAGATTTTCCAGGTTTCCAGGTTGCGTGGCAACCCTGATAATCTTTTTAAAACTTTTTCCCAAAATTTCTCTTTATCAACTGCGGAAAATTTTTGATTAGTTCTAAAATCAACTAATAATAAAAAATTAAATAATAGAAATAAAAAATCCACATTAATAATCATTGTATTCCGGTATTCGGTTCACAGTTTAAAGTTAGTTGTTGTTTGTTTCCTAACTTTTTAAAATAATTTTTCTTTTTAAATATTTTCAATTTTTTAAATTAATATATTAAACATCATTGAATTCTTGCAAAGAATTTAATTAATAAAATAACTTTTTTGAAAAATTCGTAAAACTTTAAATTATTGTCCGACTGTAAATAACAAAAAAAAAAAAAAGAATGATGATGAATGAAATGAAGTTGAAAATTAAATGAAATAGGAATGATAAAGACACGGCACTTATTTTGTATTCAGCTTGTACGAATGTTTAAGATTATGATGAGAGATAAGAGTGAAACAAAATTCGATTCATCATTTATTAGAGCGCTAATTGCACAGAAATGATGTATAATTCTGACATTACTCGTCTCTTTGCTCACTTTTTTCACCATCTTTTTGAACGAGTCAAAGGCGCAAAATTGGTGGTCTCTTCGAATGTGCAACGTTCATTAGGGCGGGTTATGATCTGATCGAACCAGCACCTGTTGGATGAACTTCATAGTCCCACACACGCAACTGGTGCATAAACAGGAATCACAACTTTTTTTCTTTTTTTTTTTTTTATTGAATACGCACAAAAATTTTCCTTTTCTTTCGCGGCAAGAAATATTTTCAAAAAGAGTATTCAAGTATTTCTCGTAAAAATTTCAATTATCTTTATAAATAATAAACTTCTTCATCGAAATTCAATTATTTTCAAAAAATTTAATAAAATTCTTCGCAAAATTTCAATTATTTTCAAAAATTTTCCTCATTTCAATTCTTATTACATTTTTTTGATATCTAATAATTTTTAGAGTGAATCAGAATATTCTTTAGGGTCAGGAAAAAAGTCAAAATTTTGTCTGGAAATCAGAGAAAAACAAAATTAATTTTTTTGTGCCAACCCTGAAATGAATAATTATTATAATTATGTAAATTAAATTTTGAATTAAATTTGAATTATTTAGTGAATTTTGAATTAAATTTAAATTATTTAAATCAAGCTTGTATTAAATTTAAATTATTTAAATTAATTTTGAACTAAATTTAAATTCGATTTAAATTGATAAATTTATTTTTAATAAAAGGAAAAATAAATTTTTTGCGAAACTATTTAAAAAATTTGTGATGTGAGCACCTTGAGAGAGTGCAAGATCCAGAGCAGAGGAAGGTCTGAAAGATAGTTGCTGTTTTCTGAGCAAGGTGAAAGAGAGCTTTGTGTTGATGAGGACACAAATGAAAGTTGGGTATTCCTGTATATACATACAAGTGTGAGCGCCTCCCTGGCGCCTCCCGTTATGAAAAATGAACATCCCTTCCAACCACACAATCTTCTCATTGCCACTATATATACATATATATATATAGTGGAGATTATATTCAACACACCTTCTCACTTTCTTTTGATTTGCCGCTCCTTTGGTTAGATTCAAAAAATTTTAAAGAAGCATATCAAAGGTGTTAATTTCCAGACCCAAAAGAAAAAAGAAATTTATTAAATGGACTAATGATTGTAGTCTATTATTTCGGTATTTTAGATTTCATTTTATTCAATAAGTTTTGAGTTTTATTCTTACTTTTACTTTCCTATTCGTTTTCACTTTTTGACAAACTTTTTATTTTCACTTTCAATTTTATTTTCTCTAAGAATTTTTTATTGATTCACTTTCACTTTGACAGATTTTTATTTTCACTTTCACTTTCACTTCTCTTTGAAGGATTTTTATTTACACTTTCGTTTTTACTTTGACATTCATTTTCACTTTCACTTCTCTTTGAAGGATTTTTATTTACACTTTCGTTTTTACTTTGACATTCATTTTCACTTTCACTTCTCTTTGAAGGATTTTTATTTACACTTTCGTTTTTACTTTGACATTCATTTTCACTTTCACTTCTCTTTGAAGGATTTTTATTTACACTTTCGTTTTTACTTTGACATTCATTTTCACTTTCACTTCTCTTTGAAGGTTTTTTATTTACACTTTCGTTTTTACTTTGACATTCATTTTCACTTTCACTTCTCTTTGAAGGATTTTTATTTACACTTTCGTTTTTACTTTTACAGTCATTTTCACTTTCACTTTGAGAGAAAGTGAAAATAAAAACCCTTCAAAGAGAAGTGAACGTGGAAATAAAAATCCTTCAAAGAGAAGTGAAAGTGAAAATAAATGTCACCGTAAAAATGAAAGTGAAAATGTAAAAAAAAATAAATAAATAAAAAAGGGAAGGAAAAAAGAAAAAAAGAAATATTTAATAAGGAACTATAATAATTGATACAGTAAAGGATAATTTAACACATGTATGACTGCCATTTATTTTTATCCGTGCACTTTATCATACGTTTACCTAAGGACATGTCTAATTGCCTATTTACAGATAGTGAAAGGTACAAGCAATCTTCATGTATATCGGAAATTGTCCAATTAATTTTTCAGCTCATATTTCGAACAATCATTAATCAATTAACTGTGGCATTTGCAATAATAAATTTTGACATTTGCACAATTATTCCCATATATGCTCCCCCTCAGTAATTTATCAAAACCCGTTTTTGATTTATCATTAAAAATATAGAAGAGGCGTTGCCTGCGAGAGTTTATTAACATTTACTTATTGCTTTATCCCTTAGTCATGGAAAAGTCCTTTCTCGAAACGTTCGCACGATCCAAGTAGATTAGTATAATATATATAAAAAATATTTCTTAAAAGAGATTGTCGGCAGTTTTGAAGATCTTCTGCTAATGCCCTCGACATTCATCAGCTTCTCATTTCTATTTGTTGTTAAAATTTTGTCAATTGTAAATTACTTTTTCAATTTATAAACTGAATTGTGAATTATATTTATTTACAATGAGTAAATTAAATTTTACAATGAGAAAATTTGTTTATAAAAAATATACAAGGTTAAGATTTTTGTCTCAATTTGATATTCTTAGAAAAGCTGTGTGATTGTAAAGATTATGAATTTAATGAATTTTATAAAAGCTGATGATGAAGTAAAAAAAAAAAAAAAAAAAAATAGCTGATGAGTGTCGAGATGATAATTATAATCGCGATTCTCGGGGTAAAACTTTACCTCGATGACAGGTGTCTCTAACCACAGTAACTCTCTACCACTGTACAGCTCCAGGCCTGGAAGACCACCAAAGAGAGCCTCTGTTGGTCTCAGTTTGACGGCAAATCATCTCGCAGCGGCTGGTCATCATCAAATGAAGAAACATCGTCTGGACAACGGCGAGTACTACGAAAACGGACATCTCGGTGAGTTTACTCTTCTTCTATAATTTCTAATTTTTAACAAAAATATTCTTTACTTTTTGTTTATTATTATCGAGATAGGATCCACTGTAAAAAATTGTTGGAGAAAATTCCCCAAAATCTTGGTGATGCAATTTTAACTAAAAAAAGGTAAATTTCCACTAAGAAAACTTGGGGAATTTTCTCCAAGAAAAGTCGAGGAAATTTTCCTTTAAAATCTTGTGGAATTTTCCCTTTAGAATCTTGGGAATTTTTCCTTTTGAAATCCTGTGGAATTTTCCCTTTAAAACCTTTTGGGAATTTTCCCCAAAAAACTTGAGACAAATTTCCTTTTAAAATCTTGTGGAATTTTTCCTTTGAAACATTGGGGAATTTTCCCTTTAAAATCTTGGTGAATTTTACCTTAAAAACTTTAGGAAATTTCCCTTTAAAATCTTGTGAAATTTTCCTTTGCAACTTTAGGAAATTTTTCTTATAAATTCTTATGGAATTTCCCCTTTTAAAATCTTGAGGAACAAATTTTTTAAATAATGTTTAATTTTAAAATAAAAATTTAGAATTATTAATTATTAACTATAATAATTTAAATTAACTATAATAATTTGAATTAACTACAATAATTTGAATGTTCAAAAAGTAATTTTGAAGTAATTTTATACATTTTTTAAGGAATTCTTTGAAAATTGTAATAAAAATAATTGAAATCTTGTAAATAATTTTATTATTTATACAAATAATTAAATTCTTGCAATAAATTTTATTAAGTTTTTGTAAATAATTAAATTCCTGTGGAAAATTTTATTATTTGTAAAAATAATTTAATTCTTGCGATGAATTTTATTAAATTTTTTTGGAAATAATTGAATTTCCTTGAATCATTTTATGAAAATTTAATAGGAAAATTGAATTATTTAGAATAATTTAATCAAAATTGTTTTGAAAATAATTGAATTCCTCTGAAGAATTTTAATATTTAATGAAAATAATCAAATTTTTTGAAAGAATTTTATTATTTACGCAAATAATTGAATTCTTCACAAGAATTTAATATAAGTTTTTGAAAATAATTGAATATCTGCAAAGTATTTTAATATTTACAAAAATAATTGAATTCTTGCGAAGAATTAAAAAAAAACAAATACTTGAAAGTAATTAAATTCCTTGGAAAGAACATTATTTTTTATGAATATATATGAATTTTTTTGTGAAATTTTATTAGAATTGTTTTGAAAATAATTGAATTATTGCGAAGAATTTTATAAAAAAAAAACTTGAAAGTAATTTGAATTTCTTAAAAGAACATTATTTTTTATGAAAATATATGGATTTTTTCGAGAAATTTTATTAAAATTTGTTTTACAAATAATTGAATTCCTGCGAAGAATTTTAATATTAAATGAAAATAATTGAATTGTTTAGAATAATTTTATTATTTACTAAAATAATAATTAAATTCTTGCGAAGAATATTATATAAGTTTTTAAAAATAATTGAATTTCTGCAAAAATTTTAATATTTAATGAAAATAATTGAATTCATTAATTATAATAATTTGAATGTTCATTCATTCATTTACTTTTTCTGTCCCTCACACTCTGAAGAATATTATAAGAATATTGTTACTGTAACTTCATCAAAATGTTATTAAAATACTAGATATTGAAAATTATTGAAATTCGAAAAATTTTTGAAAATAATTGAAATTAGGACAAGAATTTTTTTTGACATTTATGAAAATAATTGAACTTTGGGTTTGGAGAAGAATTTTGTTATTTATAAAGATAATTGAGATTTTTACGAGAATTTTTTTTATATTTTGAACATAGTTGAATTTTATAAGAAGAACTTTATTTTTTTCAAAATAATTGAATTTCTGCAATTATTTGTAATTTCACAAAAATATACAAATTTCCCTATTAGATTGTTGAAATTTTCACTATTTTGTGAAAATTTGCACAAAATTGTAGTGAAAAATCTTTTCCCCTTCACTTTGTGGAAAATTTTTTTTATATTTTATCATCTTTCTTCAAGTTTGCAGAAAATTTCACTAATTTATGGAAAATTCCACAAAATCGTAGAAAAAATACATTTCCTCATCAATTTGTGGAATATTCCACAAGAAACCTCAGGGAAAAATCCCCAAATTTTTTACAGTGTCAACTGTTGATGATCGCAAAAAAACGTTGTAACAACTTCGTTAGGATACAAAAATATTTTTAAAAAAGGATTTAAGGGGGTATTTTTTAGTATCTAAATACGCCTTTAATCAAAAATTCCCCTGTGGGTACAAACTATATACAGTCTGCATATGGTCATTGATTAAAAACGAAAAAACGACATTAATTTCGAATATAAAAAAAGCAGAGTAATTTCCATGAATACGAAAGAAGATTGCAATGAATCTGGGATGAAAAAAAAGAATATATATATATATCGGCTTCGGGATTTAATTACCAAACATTGGCTCGTCAATTCGTTCACGTATATTGATGACATTACCGTTGGGTAATAGACGTTGTTCGCGACATAATCAGCCGTTTAACGAATGGGTTCCGCGAACATAAATCCGAAACAGGCTTTAGTCGACTTTTGGTTAAATTTGAATGTGTGTTGTATCATCCTGTATACGCACATTTATAAACACAAATTCACACTCTACGAAATACGTGTTTGTCAGTTATGTACGTTTGAGCGCGCACGTGGGCGGTGTGGGTTGGTCGGTAGTGACTAGGTCCTGGCCAAGCGCGAATGCTCATAAAAGCATTGATTAACTGTTGGTGGTCGTAGGTCAGCCAGACCATGGACTAATAAAACCATGAACTAATAGTACCTCGAACGTCGCCTCGATGTCGTTTGTCGGCTTTTACGTGAGAATAGTCCGTTTTGTCAACGATCACAAACCGTTTTCACTCCCTTTACATGCGAGCCATGAATTGCCATGAATTGCTTTATGGATTTCACGAAAATGAGCTGAAGATAGTAATTCCCTTTATTTTTTATTACTTTTACTATTGAAATGAAAGCGAAAAGCCCACATGGGGTTTTTTTGTTTCATTTCATGATGATTCAATACTGCACAACTAGAAAATTTTCCACTGGTAGTAAGTTTAGAAAAATAAAAGTCCTCAGAAGACTATTCAGTCTTCTGAGGACTTTTATTTTTCTAAACCTAACGTTAATTATTATTATTTTTAATTTATTTCGTCTTCAACAAACGAAAAAGAGGACAAAAGACAAGTCGAAAAAAAATTCTTCCTTCAAGAAATTGATGAACGAAGAAAAACGTAAAGCACTCGATATAATTACGCGTTAGTTAAGAAAACATACCGCACTATAAACGGATATAATAACCGTAAACGATAATTTTCAAAAAGCATTGTGAACGATGTCATACACGCGCCGATAACTAAACAATCCACCCTCAATCTTCTTACCCCGACTCACGATGGATATTTATTTTTCTCATCACTTTTAATTTCGTAAAGAGAGAGAGAGAGAAATAGAGAGACAGAGAGAGAGGACAACATAGATACGTATCATCGACAACGTATGGTCTATTGTATAGTCCATTGTACACCGAGTACCGAATGGATGTACGCGCTGATATCGAGATCGGATCTCGCTTATTGAGTTTATTAATTGCGTTATGGGAAATAGCGTTCACGCTGCCGGACAAAATTGAAAAAAAAACCGAAATTCCCCCCTTTTTTCATTGTGCCACGCGCCTCAACAGCTAATAAATAATTTTCCTTTTCAAAAAATAAAAAAAAACGTAAAAATTATACTACTCCCTATAGGGAATGTAAAATTCAAAATGGCGGATCAAACATGGCGGGTGATTTTGGAAAAGTCGACTTCGAAGCGCGTCACAAAAAATCTTGTTTATTTTATTTTAGTTAATTTATCTCAATCAAACAAGATTTTTTGTTGGGGAAATATTTTTTTTTTTTTTGAAGAAAAATTTATTAATAACGACTCTGATTAATAATGTGGTTAGCGAGATGAATAAGCTTGTTCACGATAGCACATAGTGTATATGCCAAACGTTAAAACAATTATACAATTACCGCCTGGTCGTAATTAACTGCCTACACAGTTTCAACATTTACCCCGCCAATGGTATTAAATTCGTGAGCATACACCAGGCGAATGTATATTTGTTCGCGTAAAATTAACAACAGTTCAAGATCTTCTTTTTCATTTCGTAAAGTAATATAATCAACTGTATATCTTAATCATTTATTACCCATTTGATTTTCATTAATTAATTTACCCATTAAGATAAATTTTAAATAATAAATAGTTATATAAATAAAATGAATCTTTTATTTATATAATTTTATGGATTTCAAAGATATTGAATTAATAAATAATAATAATTATAATAATAATAATAAAATAATAAAATAATAAAATAGTAATACATACTATAAAGAGAAGAATGAAAAAAGAATTTTTAATCAAGATAAATTTTCAGGGTTGTCTGGAAACCTGAAAAACCTGGAATTGTCAGGGAATTTTATAAACCTTGAAAAAACCTGGAAAAGTCAAGGAATTTTGATCGGAATCCTGGAAAATTATTGTTTTCTAAAGTTTGTGTGCTTATTCTTGAAATCTAATTATTCTTAAATATTTCAAAATTAATTCAATTTTAATATAATTCAATTATTTTCATAAATAATCAAATTTTTTAAACAGATTCAATTATTTTTATAATTAATAATACTCATCGCAGAATTTCAATTATTTTTAATACAATTTTAATGGAGTTCATCAAAAAATGCAATTATTCTTAAAACTTTTATTTAAATTCGTCAAAGGAATTCAATTATTTAAAAATTTGTTGTTAAAAATCTTCTCAAGAATGTAATCATTTCCAATACAATTTTAATTAAATTTCTTGAAATAATTTAATTATTTTTAAAAGTTTTTTAATAAAAGTCTTTAAAACAAATCAATTCTTCTTAAAAATTTTAATAAAATTATTGCAAAAATTCAATTAT